TGCTTAATTAACAATTAATTAAACTATTAAGTTATTTATTGTTCTTCTCTCAACCCACGAATTTTACCTTTTTCCAGTCTCCTCCCCATCCCACTGGAAGGAGGTAGAAAGAGGGATCAAGTGACTGTGTTGTACTTAATTGCTGGCTGGGGTTAAACCATGGAAATTAATAGAGAGATGTACCATTTAATTGTTTCATTTAATTGTTTCATATTTTATTTCACAGTCTTGGGTTTATTCTACACCCTTCCTTTATGGTACCAAACTTTAATATGACAAAAAGCGATTTGTCACATGACAACCAACTTCCATAACTGGAAGACTGCAAAGCTGCAAGATAAAATCTGACTGTCAAGGAGTAAGCTCATTATAACCCCTCATTAGCAACATTTAAAGAAAACCAGAAAAATACTGGCTAAGATACTGCTTTTTTACTTTATATTATTTATATTTTGAGTCTGGCAAAAACCTGTGAAAAATCTCTCATAAGGGACGAATGCTACATTTACACAGAGCCAAGAGAAAAGCTTTACAGTAGAAATTGTTCATTAACTCTGTGACTGCAAGTGTGGAAGAGCAGAAAGAATTAGATAACATTAATTTACGAAACAACAACAACAAAGCCAATGCACAGGATTGGTGTATAAACAGCTTTAACTGTATATATTAATTTCCAGTGGCTCTGAAAACAAATGGAAGATTACTGGGATAAGATTAACTGTAACAAATGCAAGGAAATGCATGAAGTGGTTAGAGAAGCTTTTTATAGTACAGCAGTTAAATCTAGTTAATTGTGTTTGATTTTTGTTTTCATAATTACTTCCATTGTTTTACTGAACTCCTGCTGAATGTCTGACATAGTTTAGCTGTCGTGCCGTAATTAAAAAAATAAACATATAGAAACTGAATACTAATGTGATTAGTGTTGTGTTACATGCTTTAATATATGTGCTGCTCATACTGGTTGAGAGCTGCTTCACGCTTAGCTGAGGAGATAATCCGTGATTTAAAACAAAGAAACAACTCTGATAAGTTAATGTAGTTAATGGAAACATTTGACTGTATGTGAAGGTAACAAAGGTAATTTTGTTCATATAAGGAGGTCATGAGCAAGGTCACATGTCATAAGAAGGTCAAGAGCAAGTCTTTGCAATGAGAAATCCAAATTATTTTAATTCCCACTGTGACCTGCACATAGGTATTGTCCAAGCTAGTAGCCTTTTGTAGCACTATGGGCAGTAGTCAGGGATGAGTTGGCTTGAGGTTGCAGCATTGTCTGTTGAACTGCTCCTGTGCAGTAGGTTTTATAAATCTTGAACTGCTGTATTGTAGAAGTGTAGAGCATCTGACATACTGACAGCAAGACATACATGCACGATGTACATTAAGGTAGCTTTTATGGGTACTACTGAATCAAATTTCTAAAATAAAGTTATATGATGCACTAGGAGCACAACTGAAGGCCAAGGTAGAGCAACGTCCTGCAATGCATGCACTTTTCTGTATCTGTTGCATGAGCAGAAAATCTGATTGTATCTTGAGGAGTGTAACTGAGACCGTGTTTTAAACTGCAAACACAACCCTTCCCTTTCACTCTGGGACTAATTTTGATCTCCCTTGCTTTGAGGTAAACCCAGTAAAGGTGGATAAAGTTGCAGATGCTCATTGGGGCTCCGTGAGATGTATCTGAAAATGCTAACACTGGCCAACAGATATAGAGGAAGCATGGACTATTTTTTGATCAGAGTATCACACCCAAGTCCTGTGCTTAAACGGGCCAGTTACTCTTTCATACTTTTTTTTCTTTCTGACATATTTCATGCTCTGTATTTCTGAGTATAAGTGCTCAGTTAGCACAGCCGTTGAGACCGGAAACTATCAGGAGGAACACTGCATGGGTTTGTGTAAATGAAGTGAACCATTTTGCAGTGTTTGCTATTACTGAAAAAATGAATATGCCTAACAATGTCACCCCCAAAGTAGCTTCATTATTACCCTGTACCATGAAACTGCCTTCTAATACCTTTTAGGCAGGTGACAGTCTGATTCAGTAGGATTGTGGCTTGAAAAACAGTGGATACTGTAGGAGCAGTCTAAAAGGCAACGGCAACCTCTTATGTCAGAAATGTGCTACCCTGTTTTGTGCTCAGCCCTGGCTCCAGCCAGTGGTTGTCAATTACTTTTTTTCTGTGCCAGATGCCAGTCTGGCACGTGTTGAATTGAAAGGAAAACCAAGAAAGAACTGCAATGTCTTCTTTCAATTTATTTTACCATGGCATATTAGGTAAAATTCTTTCTGTGTCAAACCAATAGTGAATACATGATTGAGTCCAGCTCTTCCTTTAAGCTAAGAATCTTCATTACCATTCATGGACTTTTTATATAATTGCTTGTATAGGGGCTGTGGATGATGCATCATCTAATTTGGAAAAAAGTACTCAGCAGGTGTGGTGATTTTATACACTAAAAATGAATATTTAAGACCCAAGGGAAGCTATTCACAACTTTGGGGAGGTGGGGAGATAGTAGAAGCTTCATTTAAAATAGTTTATGGCTCTTTTAAAGCTCTATTAAAAGAAGTATCTCAACATTTCCTAGGGTGATTCATCACAAGCTGACTTATCTGTTTAGGATTTTCCCAAATGTCTTTCTAGTTAGATAAAAGATGCACATGAATGTGCAAAATGATTTGTCTGTTTTGTCTGAATGATGACAGTTTGTAGAAAACTGAATTTGCCACATTCCTAGCTTTCCTTCATAGCTGAATTGGATGTTAAATGTTGCTCCTTATACCTTTTTGATTTGTTAGGGTACTTTACATTCATAGGGCAGAAAAGCTGGATTCCATCCTCCACATCAACCTGTTCAGAAACTTAACTTGCATGGATATTTAAAAGAATATATAGGAAAAATCAAATTATTTCTTAAATATGCCACCCCAGGATGAATTAATCCACTACCAGCGCTATAACCCCAGGCTTCAGAGTCTGGTTGTCATTACACCAAAAGCTTGTATCAGTGTACTTGTAGCAGCATGATTTCAGAAACATGTAGTGTTGACTCTTACTTTGTTAGCTGTGAGCCTTACAGTATCGTTGATAGGAGCAGTATGCAGCCAGAGTATGTTGCATTACAAGATGTGGCTGTTGGCCAATGACCAACGTTGGTTGGTATTTTCAAAAGTTTATTTTTCCGTGCACGGACTGATGTCAGTGGTGCATACCCTGTCACTAAAGGAAATAAATAAATAAATGAAAGAATTCCTACCTAACATAAGTGATTCTATGCACTTTATAACAGACATGCTTATAAACACAGAAGCCAGGGAAATTATCAGTGGTTTTCGAGTAGGCATGTGAAGGACTCTCTTCAGAGTAGTTGTACAAGATATGTGATATAAGGAAAAGAAATGAAATGTAATCATTATCCAAATACAGTGAATAAAGATAAGAGTTCTCCACAATTTATCTACCAAATGTGTGTCTCTGTCTAACACAGAGTAACTCTATTACCACAGTTGTTAATATTAAGTCTGTCCACATATTTTGTGCAAAATCTCTGTGGTGAGCCATTCATTGCATTGAAAAGCTGACACAATGGAATGCTTTTTGTGCTGGCTCTGGACAAATTATAGTCCATTTTATCAGTTCCAAGGTCAGAGTACTATCATGCCTCTTTAACTGTAGAGTAGTAAAGTGGGCGCTATTGAATGTTCAAGCAACATCTGTAAGTTTGCCTGGTTACTGCAGCCAGGTATCTCTAGTATCAGAGGGTTTTGTCTGAACCTATTTCTCTTGTCTCCAATTCTCATTTTTGCTGTAATTTAATCTCAGAGTTGACTTTCACTGCAATGTATTTGGAGCTGTAGAGCTCAGACATACTTTCAAGACGCACAGCAACCATTGTGAATATGTCACTGTAGCAATGCTTTCATTGCTTGTTTTGACTCTAGTGCTAGTTTAAGCATAAGTCAAAGGGCACTGTTATTAAACACCTTGTACTGCCAGAATCTGTGTTTTTTTCCCTATCATTTTTGTGGACCAGGTCTGTTTTTAGAATTGAAAAGCTTAAGCCCTTTCACACAAAACCTGAACTAGATTTTCATGGATTTAATATCTCTGTTTCCCTCTCCCACTTGTCTACTTCCTTTTCCTTCCCTTTCAAGCAAAACTGCAATCAATATGAAACATTATTTTTATGCCCTGCATGCCTGCACTGGTGTGGGAATATTCATTTTCCTGTGAATAAAAATCATCATATTATTTTGTCATTTTGGCCTCTCTGAAATGCAGAACAATTATTTCAAATTAAGATCAGAATTATTTTTTCCCTAATAAAAACAGTGGTACTCACTAGAACCTGCTTCTTTTCCAATGGCACACAGTCTAAAGCTCCTGATATCCCCTTTGTGAACAATGAAGTTTCCTTGCCCATTTTGCACTTTCTCTTCTCCCCTTTAATATAGCAGTTCATCAGCCTTGTTTTTTGATGAGCAAAGTGGGTCATTTTAATAACATCCCTCAACCCGCAAACTTTGTCTTTCCTTTTTTGGTTCACTCTCTTGAGTTCATGACCAGCTGTGCAGCCAGCTCATTGATTCAGTGGTGTGACTTTTGCTCTTTGGGAGCAGGTGAAGAAATATGGGTGCCTTTCTCTTATCTGCCCTGGAACCCCAGCACACATGGGCATCAAAGAAGCCATCATTTTCTTGTAGAGTAAAATGAGGGCAAAACCACAAATAAAGGTGATGTCTCTTGGTAAGATGGAGCTTAGTGTGTATTTAGGTGAGATGATGTGTTTCATTGACTTACTGACTTAGTCTGGCTTCTAAAACTTGCTTTATTATTAAGTAGTTGTGTATAACTTTGGGAAGGGTACTACCTTGCAATTGCAATAACCCTATTTTTAGCCTTGTTCTTTAACTCTTTTGGAACACTGGCATAGTCTATAACTTTCTGTAGAGAGATAAGCTGTTGAAATATTTTTCCTTTCCTTTTCAGGGAGTAATATGTGGGAGGCTGTGGACTATTTGCTTCCGACATAGGAACAACATTGGGCTTGGAATCTGCACTCCTGAGAGAATGCTGGGAATCTGCAGAGGGCGACGGAAATTCCTGGCTGCCTCTCTGACCGTCCTTTTTGTCCCAGCCATTACATGGATTTATCTGTTTGCTGGGAGTTTTGAAGGTAGGAGAGGAATAATGGCTGGGGAGGGGTGGTGGGCTGTTGAATGATTTGCATCTGGGCAGACAAATGCAGATCAGTCATCATTGATTTTATTTAAATAAATCTCGTTTGGCTTGTGTATGAAATAGTTCCCAAGGTGCAGGTTTCAACAAAGGGCCTTCCTTGCCATGTTCTCACTGATGAGACTGAGTAAATTACTGGCCACAATTATTTAATTTTCCACTCATCTCTGAACCTTGAAAAAGTACAACAAAACCCCTCCCACACTTTACTCATTTCTTCTCCGTATTTTCTAATTTTTAAATTAGATCTATCCTACACCCTGTAAGTTTTTACTTTTAGTTAAAGTTAACATCTCATTTCAGATGTACCAAACACAGAAAATCAATAAATACCTATATGAAATTTCTTTATATAAAATTAGTTTGAATCCGCATCCATGTGAGTGGCAGTGGGTTTCTATAGATGGAATATCTTTCTGTCCCTCTCTTTCTGGAGGTGGCAATCCTCCAGTTTATAGGTATATTGACTTGCAGCTATATAATGAGCACTTTTTATAATGAGACTTGGAATAATCACTACTTCTCCTTTTAAATTTCCTATCTGATGAAGTTTTTTTTCTGGCCTTACTGAAGTTCAGCAGTAATATTTCAGTTAGGTGAGGATTGAAGATTCTGTCTCTCCTGGTTTTTGTTACTTTGTAGCTTTCTTTGTTTATTTGTTTTGTTTGTTGTGGAGATGGAGCATTTTATGTTTGGCAATAGTAACTGTGTTATTTTGGCAAGAGTAAAAAAAAACTGTTCAGCCCCTGTAGTTATCTTAGCACGAGGAAAGGTGTTTCAACCTTTCAAAAACTGTTCAGATGCTATTTTACAGTCAGATAATTTTAAAAAGGCATTGTTTAAAATGTCAAGCTTCTTTCGTGTAACCTTGGCTGACAAATTTGTGCTTTGTTTTGAAACAAAATGGGTTTCCAAGTTAAATTACAAGTAAGAACATGTAAAGATTTTGAGTATATATTACATACACTTCTGAATTAGTTACATGCCAGGTACAAATGTTGGTTTATGCAAATTTATTTGATTATTAAAATTCTACCTTAATATGCAGTAACACTATGAGCTTATTCTAGAATGAAACACTTATGGAATTCATGTTAAATTGGAAATATAAGGAGTCCTGGCTGCGTACTTGAAAACTAATGATCTGGGAGGCAGAACAGTACTGACTTTGTTTGATTTTTAAAAGCTGAGCAAATGCAGGCCTCACCTTTTTGCTTTTGGAAGAATATTATGCTGCCTTGTGGTAATGACTATTTTAATTGTGTCCACAGTTGATAATGCCATGGTGTTTTAAATTCCTCTGTGTGCAGAATCCTTTGTTTTTACAGAGAACTCAATACAAATCTTGAAATTTGCTGCTACATGGTATTTGAAGTGACTTAAAGCTCTCAGTGTGAATTAATCTTAAATGCAAACCAGGGAGCAAAACCTATTACCTATTACAAAGCCTTGCCTGGAAAAGGGCTGGAAATTATATAGTTAGTAACTCTTTCAGTTACTTTTCTGTATCTGTTTTCTTTTTCTTTTTGGATGGGGCATTATTTAATCTTCATTGTTTGACAACTAAGGTCGCTTAGATATTTATTTAACCTCCTAATAGCTAGCATTTTCCTTAACTTGTAGATATTATGGGCAACGAGTTAAAGCCATTTTCTTATTTTATATAATTTCTTGTTTTGCTCTCCACAATGGTTCACACAATTTACTTGTATTTTGAGCTCTCCATGGAGGTTGTAGTGAGGGGGGGGTGGCTTTATTCTCCCAGGTGACAAGGAACAGAACAAGAGGAAATGGCCTCAAGTCACACCTGAGGAGGTTTAGATTGGATATTAGGAAAAATTTCTTCATGGAAAGGGTTGATGAGCACTGGAACACTCTGCCCAGGGAAGTGGTTGTGTCACTGTCCCTGGAGGTATTTAAAAGAGGTGTAGATGTGGCACTTAGGGGCATGGTTTAGTGGTGGACTTGGCAGTGCTAGGTGAATGGTTGGACTCGATGATCTTAGAGGTCTTTTCCAGTTGTATCATTCTGTGATTCTATATAGTTGAGAAAAAATTTGTCTCTCAACATCATTATACCTTGATTTGAAACCAACAGAAGTGGAGAGTTTTCTCTGTCTTCTGGCATTAGTTTCTTTGGTTAATCACAGTGCTAGAATTTTTCTTTTCTGTTCATCTGGTTTTAGGTTTGAGCAAATGGTTCTTTTTAAACTTTTCTCCACTAAATTAAAGAAATCATCAGTACCTGGTGTCTTCACCAGGTAGACTCACTTAGTTATTCAGTCTGTAAGGGGCCTCGGGAGTCCTCTCGTTAAACTGCTCAAATCAGTGTGAGTTTTGGGGTCAGGCAAGATTTCTTAGGCCTTTATTCAGTTGCGTCTTCAAAATCTCCAAGGAGAGAGACTTCAGGGCCTCCCTGAGCAACTTGGGCCACTGCTTGACTGCCCTCAAGTGGAAGAGTTTCTCCTCCTATATGTAGTTTGAACCTCCCTTGCTTCAATTTATGTCTGATGTCACACATCCCCTTGCCACGTATCAATGTGAAGAGTCTGGTTCTGTCTTTTTGCAACTTGCTTGTAGGTACTAGGGGGCTGCTGATAAGACCCACAGAGCCTTCTCTTTTTCAAGCTGAACAAGCTCAGTGCAAGAACTTCAGCCTTTGTACAACTTCATAGCCCTATTCTGGACTTCATCAATGTTGTTCTGTTTGGGACCCCAAACTGGAGTTATTCATTTACCATAGCATGGTAGTGGGATCACATTTAGAAACCCTTTGAAAGCTTTCTTAGTGAATCTGTAATATAAAATATGCCTCAGTGCAGTCAATTTCCATGTTTTGCTTTTGAAATAGTTTGCAATTCCTGAAGACAGAATTTTGTTTTATTTTGTGTCTTCTTCTCTTGTCAGCAAGTACAGGTCAGCCTGCTACTTCACAGTTGTTACTCAGGCACTGCCAGTAAGACCATTCCCTTAGAATACTCACTGGAGGTGGTATTACCCAAGCTGTGACAGCAGCAGCTACTAAAAGCCTCATTAATCATGTATAAATGTCTATTAAGGTTATGAACTAGAATATTAAACATGGTATTGAATATTGTATAGCCTTTGAACATACCTGGTTACTGTTATTGTTTTTAATAATGCACAAGGACGGCATAATTTTAGTTATCAGTTACTTTGAATGGGAAAGCTAATTGTTCCAACACTCTTAGATTACATTCAAAAGACAAAGTAATAGAGTAGGAAGGGTGAAGTGCATTTAAAACAGGGAGAAGAAATAATCAAATAATACATGATGAATTTTCATTAGAAAGAAAATAGCAATTTCACTAACCAGCAGTAGCTTCATAAATAGCTTCATTTTCCAAGCTATATATGCAGCACTTTCCTATCCCCTTTATTATGAATGTCATGTAAAATGGAGATTTGGAACTGTAATTTGACTATGCTTTCTAGATTACTGATTCCTCAAAAAAAAAAAAAAAAGAGTCCACTGTGCCTTTGTGCCCTCAGCAGATTTCCAGTCACCTCCGTTTTGACAGGATGAAAATACACTTGAGTTACCAGTCTCTGCGTGGTGGATCCACTTGAGGTTGAAAATCCTAGACTATGTGTGTAGGGCTCCTGTGTAGAACATACTTCACAGGAAAGGAAGAGCCAGTGATGTAGCTTTAAAATGAAAAATTGAAAAGTTGTGTGAGATCATGCAGGGAGTCTGTGAGAGAGCTGTTGACTCTTTTTCTTTAACTGCCTGGGGTAACACTTTAAAAAATAGAGCCTGACTTCTATCCTGGGACTTGCTTTCCTTGATTGTCCTCTTTTCACTCCCGTGTTGGGTGACTATGACTCTCTGGCAATTCATTTTAGTCAAAGTCATCTGTAGAGACACGATTGAAGCCAGAGTTGGGCAAACACCTCATCAAATACAATAAAATAAATTGAAGGAAGGCTGCAAATACTCATCTTAGTATTTAAATGGATTCACTTTGATACTGTTCACACTCTTTTTGAGTATGTTTCCATAAATATTCTAGTGAATATGTTAATTGGGAAGACTGTCTACAGAAACAATGAATATCCAATTTTAATATTCATGGGAAGTAGATTTTGAAATCATATTTGTGAATACTTGAATCAGAAAACTGATTCTGGGAGTTCAGCTTTATCCAGTTAAGTGCCAAAAGTTTATCACATGGTCTATGTGCATGATGAAAACTGCCTGAATTTTTAATGCTTGCAATAAGTTAGTCATAGGAAGAGGCAAACAAATAATTAATTACTAAAATGTCTATCAGACACTTGCAACTGATGAACAAACATCAGAAAATAATCTCTTTACAGATAATGTAATCAGAAAGGAGCAAATACTAGAATTGCTTTTTTTATTATGTTTCCTTCAGTGGGCCTGAATTTATCTGGTATGTGTCTCAACAGGATTAAAGAAGAAAACTTAATCCAGTGTCTATTTAAAATAGAAGTTTCAAATTCTGTATTGATCCTGTCTTTTTAATAAAGTTCTGAGAAAAAAGCCCTGAAAAGGGTGCCTCTGTATATAGTAAGGTTGTTACTGTGATGGGTGCCTAGGCAGGTTTACAGGCAGTGTATTTTAGTTAAGACTGGCTATCTCTAGTTAAAATAGAAACCCCTTCATATCCATTCTGGAGTAAATGATAGTGGTCTATTCCTGTCTTGTTATTTTTTTTTTTAAGGACATAGAAAATTGTCACTTAAGCACCTCTATGTCTACTGCAATCACTATACCTTCTTAAATACATTTGGAGATCCTACAAGAATAAAATCAATCATGATAGTAAAGACCTCAGACATATGTGAAGTTCTGTTTGCTTTATCTTGGAAAACTTGTCCTATGAAACCCTTGTGATTTGGTTATACAGAATACTGCTGAAGTTTGGTTGAAGGATGCTGAAGGACCAGAAGG